ATGACCTTTCGCCCCCCTCACTCTGATCATCATCGTCATCATCAACATAAACAGCATAATCGTCATCATCAGCAGCATCATCAGCATCAACGTCATCATCATCAGCATAATCATCATCATCAACAGCAGCAGCATCATCCGCATCCTCATACTCATCCTCACCCTCATCCTCATGGCCGTCCTCATCCTCCACCACCACACCTACCACGAGTATCAGCACCTGTACCCTGAAGTGCGGGAGTTTTCAGCAAACAAAAAAAACATCCAGTCGCGTGGAGTCCCTGGTCGCTTTGGCGCTCACCTAATTCTCGAATCGCCTCAGTCACTCCACTCGCAACTCGTAGGACCCTCAGGACTTGAGGACTCGTCCGCCACACATACCCAGGCCCTCGCTTTAGGCGCACGTGCAGCGCTGGCTCCATTGCCAGCGCTCCCAGGCAGGGCTCCACTTCTTCCTCCTTGCTTGCTGCTGCTGCCGTCCGTGGGGGAAGTCGGGTGGGTTGTGAGCGGGGTCGGCACGGGGACGATGACCAAACCGCTGCCTCTGGTGCCCCGCCTCCACAAGTTCCGCGACTTGCCGACGCTGCCGTGCCGCCCAAGAAGAGAGCCAGGGGCGGGGGGAATCCATGAAACGCGAGCGCGACCACGCCAGCCGCAGACCTACCTCCGTCGGATAATGTGCCTCTGTCGGCTGCGCGTTGCGATCCCCTTTCTATATCGGCCGCCTCGGGCTGAAGCACACCTTAGACACATACGATACAACACAACATCGACGCTACCTGCATCCCACCAGCCTTTTAGGGCGTAGGTGGTCTGGAGAGTTTTCTCGACAAACCCCCTTTGTTCCCCCTCGGGGAAGGGCTCATCACTGTTCCCTATTCAGATATGTACACCCACTCCCCCAGGTGACGTGCAGCCAACCAGGAACAATGAGGATCCCACGAGGGCACCCCAAACCATCCCTGTCAATTACGCCACCGAGGAACCCCACATACTTAATTTAAATCTTATGTGTTTGCTTATGTATATTATATATACATATATATATATATATATGCACAATCCTGCGTTCTGAGCCCTCTGAGCGACCGAGCTGAGAGACCACCCCCTGCGCACTCCCTGTGGTGTCGAGAAAGTGCCACGCCTGCTAGGCTTTGCGCCAGTGTCGTGGATAGCGGCCGAGCTGAGAGAACACCCCCTGCGCACCCCGTGTGGTGTCGAGAAAGTGCCACGCCTGCTAGGCTTTGCGCCAGTGTCGTGGATAGCGGCCGAGCTGAGAGACCACCCCCTGCCCACCCCCTTTGGTGTCGAGAAAGTGCCACGCCTGCTAGGCTTTGCGCCAGTGTCGTGGATAGCGGCCGAACTGAGAGACCACCCCCTGCGCATCACCTGTGGTGTCGAGAAAGTGCCACGCCTGCTAGGCTTTGCGCCAGTGTCGTGGATAGCGACCGAGCTGAGAGACCACCCCCTGCGCACCACCCCGCCGCACCTACCCCCGCACCCCCCCATCCCACGCCCGCCCCAACCTGCCCCGGCTCACCCCCCCCCTCCCCTGGGGTGGTGTGCTAGAAAGTGCCACGTCCTGCTAGGCTTTGCGCCATTGTCGTGGATAGCGGCCCGAACTGAGAGACTCACCCCTTGTGCACCCCCTATGGCGTCTAGAAAGTGCCACGCCTGCTATGCCTGGACGACTGGCACAGATAGCGGCCGCGCTCTGGGACCACCCCCTGCGCACCCCCTGTGGTGTCGAGAAAGTGCCACGCCTGCTATGCCTGGACGACTGGGGCGTATAGAGACCGCGGTGAGAGACCACCCCTGCGCACCCCCTGTAGTGCCACGCCTGCTATGCCTGGACGACTGGGGCGTATAGAGACCGCGGTGAGAGACCACCCCCTGCGCACGCACCTGTGGTGTCGAGAAAGTTGCCACGCCTTGCTAAGGCTTTGCGCCAGTGTCGTGGATAGCGGCACGAACTGAAGAGACCCCCCCTGCGCACACCCCTTTGTGGTGTAGAGAAAGTGCCCCGCCTGCTAGGCTTTTGCGCCAGTGTCGTGGATAGCGGCCGAGCTGAGAGGCCGCCCCCTGCGCACCCCCTGTGGTGTCGAGAAAGTGCCACGCCTGCTAGGCTTTGCGCCAGTGTCGTGGATAGCGGCCGAGCTGAGAGACCACCCCCTGCCCAACCCCTGTGGTGTCGAGAAAGTGCCACGCATGCTAGGCTTTGCGACAGTGTCGTGGGATGCGGCCGCCTGAGAGACCACCCCCTGCGCACAGCCCCTGAGGTGGTGTCGAGAAAGTGCCACGCCTGCTAGGCTTTGCGCCAGTGTCGTGGATAGCGGCCGAACTGAGAGACCACCCCCTGCGCACCCCCTGTGGTGTCGAGAAAGTGCCACGCCCTGCGAGCGTGTCACGGATAGAGGCCCCGCTGAGGGACCACCCTTTGCGCCCCCCCCAGTGGTGTCGAGAAAGTGCTGCGCCTGCCACGCCCTGCGAGCGTGTCACGGATAGAAGCCTTGCTGAGGGACCACCCTTTGCGCACCCCCTCTGGTGTCGAGAAAGTGCCGCTCCTACCACGATCTGCGAGCGCGTCACGGATAGAGGCTGCGCTGACGGACCACCCTCTGCGCACTCTCTGTGGTGTGGTGGTGTGTGGTGTGGCGTGGTGTGGTGTGGTGCGATGTGGCGTGGTGTGGTGTGGTGTGTGCACGAGCGAGAAGGAGGAAGTGAGGTGGGAACGCAGGTGTGACGCGGGTGTAGAAAAGGGGAGGTGAGTGAACGCGGGTGCGACGCGGGTGTAGAGAAAATCAGAACCCCACTTAGAATGTGGGGAAAAAAAACATTCACAACACAAAGTCTGGAGTCATGTTCGTGAAGCCCGAGAGCACTCTGTATTGCTGTTTGACAAGGGCGGCGGGGGTCAGCATGTTGCCTGCTGCGCGCGGGGCTACCATCGCTGACAAGAAACCTTACAATTCAAAATGCACCCAGCGGCTAAATCTGGATCACGCGCGGCCACCCCGAGATCATTGTCAAGTGGCGGCGTATGGCCTGCTGCGCGCAGGTCCACCAAACACAATGACGGGTATTGGCTTTCGACATGGATGGTGGGGGGCCAGCATGTTTCCAAATGTGTGCTGTCACGTGCGCAGGCGCACCTGACACAGTCTGCACGTGCCCCGGAAGTGGCGCACCTGGCGCGGCTGGGGCACGCGGCACACGTGGCGCACGCGGAGGCACGTGGCGCATCTGGCGCACCTGGCATGCCTGGCACGATCGAGCCCCAGGGGGGCCTGGTGCGCGTGGCGTTCCTGGCACGCATGGCGCACCTCGCCCCAGCATCGCGCACATGGGCTCGGTTTAGGTCCCCAATAGCTGCCCATCCAACGACGACCGCTGAACATGCCGAGGCTCGGGTGCGGGTGGCACTTATGTGTTAAGAGGGCGGGTGGGAGTGAGCTAGACGGCTTGCTATCTAGACGGTTTATCACTGTTCCCAATTAATATACACCCTTCCCCCATGCGACTGGGAGCCAACCAGGGACAATGCGCCCCCCCCCCCACCGTCCCTTGTAAAAAACAATGCAAACACACACTCTGCCTCCAAATTCGGAGCATGCGCAGCGAACCCGATGCGGCCTCCCCTCACCATCCGTGTCAAAACAACAATACAGGGTACACTTGGCGGCGGCGGCGGCGGCTGCGGCGGCGGCGGCTGCGGCGGCTGCGGCGGGGGCAGCGGCTGCGGCGGCTGCGGCGGTGGCGGCGGCGGTGGCGGTGGCGGCGGGGGCGGGGCGTCCGGCTGCGGCGGCGGCGGCGGCGGTGGCGGCGGCGGCGGCGGCCTGCGGCGGTAGTCGGCCTGCGGCGGCGGCGATTCGGCAGCGGGGGCGACGGCGGCGGCGGGGGCGGCACGGCGGCGGCGGCGGCGGACGGCGGCGGCGGCGCGCGGCGGCGGCGGCGGCGGACAGCGGCGGAGGCGGCTGCGGCGGGCGGCGGCGGCGGCGGCGGCGGCGGCGGCGGATTCGCCCCCAGTAGCCCTTCCCCTCTGATCCCTTCCCCGCGCGCGGAGGCGGGGAGGGTGTCCCGGGGGGTGATCCAGGGGGTTGGTCCCGGGTGGGAATACGACCCTCCTAGGGCCCCTGGCCCGCCCTCTCACATTTCCGTCGAGGGCCGAGGCCTCCAGGGTCGGCGGCACCAGCCGTAAGTCCTTAGCAATATATATATATATATATATATATATACACACATACATACATACATACATACATACATACATAACATACATACATCATACAACATGCATACATGCATACATTGCATACATGCATACATGCATTACATGGCATACATGCATACATATCATACAATTACGTACATACATACATACACATACATCCTACCTACCTACCTACCTACCTACCTACCTACCTAACATTCAACATACAACATACATAACATGCATGCTTGCATACATACATGCATGCATAGCATACATTACATATTATATATATATGCATACATTCATACACATTTTTTTTTATATATATATATATGTATATATATATATTATATATATATATATATATATACATACATACATACATACCTACATACATGCATACATACATACATATACATATACGTATACATATACATATACATATACATATACAAATACATATACATATGCAAATACATACACAAATCCATATACATCTACATATACATATACATATACATATACATATGCATATACATATACATATACATATACATGTACATATACATATACATATACATACATACATACATACATAAATACATACATACATACATACATGCATACATGCATACATGCATACATGCATACATGCATACATGCATACATACATACAGACACACACACACACACGCACGCACGCACGCACACACACACACACAAACAAACAAACAAAAAACGCCTTGATTGGTCAATACGTTGGATCTCTGGGCTCGCCGGCTGCGGCCGCCCCTGGCGCCTCGGGCCCTGCGGCGGCTGGGCGGCCGCCGGTGAGCCGTCGCCCAGCGGCGCCCGCCGCTTGTCCGAGGGCTCCTGGCACGGGCGGGGGGTGGCCGAGCGCCATCGACGCATTTCCTGCAAGCCTGAGCCGGATCAAATTTCAAGCGAAGGCAGAATCGAGGCAAAATCGGACCGATGTAGGTCGGGAGCCTCTGAGAGTTGGCAACTCTGGAAAATGTCTCGGGCGCCGCGGCCTTCTCAGAGCGTTCCTCGCGGGCGCCGCGGCCTTCTCAGAGCGTTCCGGAACGAGCTGGAACGGATTTGCCCTCGTCCTTGCCCCGTCCGAAGGAAGCCTGAGGTGGATCAAATTTCGAAACTGGATCGGATCGGAAACGAATCGGATCTCAAGCGAATCGTCCCGCACCGGATCGAGATAGAATCGCCACGCCTGGCTCCGGCTGGCCCTGGCCAATGCCAGCGGCTCTCTCTCTCTCTCTCTCTCTCTCTCTCTCTCTCTCTCTCTCTCTCTCTCTCTGTCTCTCTCTCGGCTGCCCTCAACCCTGGACCGATACGGCGAGGGCATTTATGTATGTAGGCCCTGCGCGCGCGCAGGGGGTTCATGCATGCATTCAGGAAGAGGGGGCGGCAGGCCGAGGCTACCCGCGCGCCCACACGGCCGCCAGCTGCGCCTCCAGGTCCATTAGGAGGGCTGACGTCGCGCCTCGGAGCTCGCCCGATGCCGACCGCCATTGGCCCGAGGCCTTCTCGGGCGCGGTCGGGCTCGGCTCCGAGTGGCGCTCCCGCAGGTCATCCGCCGCGAGGTCCGCGCAGGCGTCCTGCTCGGCCACGGCCTCTGCAGCAACCACACTGCTGTTCGTGCCCTCGGACGCCTGCGGCAGCACCTCGCCACCAGCAGCCTCGGACAGCCCGATGAGCTCCGAGGTGCCTGCAGCGCCGCCGCTCAGGGCGGCCTCCTGGGCGAACCCGCCGCGGGCCCGCGCGCCGCTGCCGTGCACCAGCGCCGTGCCCCCAGCAGCGGCATACAGCGCGTCGAGCTCCGCGATGCCAGCAGCGTTCACCTCCGCGTCGTGCGGCTTCTCGAACTCGCCGCGACCCTGGGACTGCGACTTCGGTGGGCTGAATCCACCTGTCCCAGGGCCGGGCTCCGCCGCGGCGGCGTACCTGGAGTCGGCCTCGCCGCCGAGCTCCGCCGCCAGATCAGCCATCAGCTGGTTCAGGTCGTCCTGGACGCCGAAGGCCTCGTTCGCCGACACGAAGACCTCCTCCACGAAGGCGTCGTGGAGCTCGGCTAGGTCGCGGGCGCGGGCGGCCGCAGCGCCCTGGGGGCCACCGAGCTGCGGCCCGCCGCTCCCGCCGTCGGCGGCCTCCAGCTCCGCGTCGACGCCGTCGGTCTGCGCGCGCTGGCAACCCTCGCCGAGAAGCGCCTCCTGCATGGGGGCGGCGTAGGCGATGAGGTCCGCCAGCAGCTGGCTGGCGTCGCGCGGCGCGTGGGGCACGCCGCCGCCGGGCGCGCCAGCGCCGATGGGGCCGAGGGGGACGAAGGGAGGCGCATCCGCCCTCAGCGCGCCATCGGCCGCCGCGCGCCGCTCCAGCCGGGGCCCCCGCTGCGCAGAACGTAGCTCCGCCGCGCTGGCCGCCGCGATGTCCACGCCCTGCGCCTCGGCATGGAGGGCGACGTTGCGGCGCAGGCGCTCGAGCCAGGATGGGGCCCACCCTCCCAGCGTGGCCTGCAGCGCGGGGAGCATCGCCTGCAGCCTATGGGCCACCTCGTCATCCCCGATGACAGCGCCCAAGGCCTGCTCCGCGGCCTCCAGACGGGCCCGAGTCCTCCCCAACTCGCCCGTCAGCCGCCGCACGGCGTTGTCGGCGGACCACTTAGCCCACTGCCGTCCCGCAGCACGCTGGGCCGCCGAACGCTTTGGCGCGCACTCCGCGCCATCCCGCGCCATCCTGGGCCCCGCGCGCCCGAAAGCGGGCGGACCTGGCCTTGAGCCAAAATGGCTACGGAACGGCGAGGGCATTTTTTTATCTCTGTAGGCCCTGCGCGCGCGCAGGGGGTTCATGCATGCATTCAGGAAGAGGGGGCGGCAGGCCGAGGCTACCCGCGCGCCCACACGGCCGCCAGCTGCGCCTCCAGGTCCATTAGGAGGGCTGACGTCGCGCCTCGGAGCTCGCCCGATGCCGACCGCCATGGCCCGAGGCCTTCTCGGGCGCGGTCGGGCTCGGCTCCGAGTGGCGCTCCCGCTGGTCATCCGCCGAGAGGTCCGCGCAGGCGCCCTGCTCAGCCACGGCCTCTGCAGCAACCACACTGCTGTTCGTGCCCTCGGGCGCCTGCGGCAGCACCTCGCCACCAGCACCCTCGGACAGCCCGATGGGCTCCGAGGTGCCTGCAGTGCCGCCGCTCAGGGTGGCCTCCTGGGCGACCCCGCCGCGGGCCCGCGCGCCGCTGCCGTGCACCAGCGCCGTGCCCCCAGCAGCGGCATACAGCGCGTCGAGCTCCGCGATGCCAGCAGCGTTCACCTCCGCGTCGTGCGGCTTCTCGAACTCGCCGCGACCCTGGGACTGCGACTTCGGTGGGCTGAATCCACCTGTCCCAGAGCCGGGCTCCGCCGCGGCGGCGTACCTGGAGTCGGCCTCGCCGCCGAGCTCCGCCGCCAGATCAGCCATCAGCTGGTTCAGGTCGTCCTGGACGCCGAAGGCCTCGTTCGCCGACACGAAGACCTCCTCCACGAAGGCGTCGTGGAGCTCGGCTAGGTCGCGGGCGCGGGCGGCCGCAGCGCCCTGGGGGCCACCGAGCTGCGGCCCGCCGCTCCCGCCGTCGGCGGCCTCCAGCTCCGCGTCGATGCCGTCGGTCTGCGCGTGCTGGCAACCCTCGCCGAGAAGCGCCTCCTGCATGGGGGCGGCGTAGGCGATGAGGTCCGCCAGCAGCTGGTTGGCGTCGTGCGGCGTGTGGGGCACGCCGCCGCCGGGCGCGCCAGCGCCGATGGGGCCGAGGGGGACGAAGGGAGGCGCATCCGCCCTCAGCGCGCCATCGGCCGCCGCGCGCCGCTCCAGCCGGGGTCCCCGCTGCGCAGAACGTAGCTCCGCCGCGCTGGCCGCCACGATGTCCATGCCCTGCGCCTCGGCATGGAGGGCGACGTTGCGGCGCAGGCGCTCGAGCCAGGATGGGGTCCACCCTCCCAGCGTGGCCTGCAGCGCGGGGAGCATCGCCTGCAGCCTATGGGCCACCTCGTCATCCCCGATGACCGCGCCCAAGGCCTGCTCCGCGGCCTCCAGACGGGCCCGAGTCCTCCCCAACTCGCCCGTCAGCCGCCGCACGGCGTTGTCGGCGGACCACTTAGCCCACTGCCGTCCCGCAGCACGCTGGGCCGCCGAACGCATTGGCGCGCACTCCGCGCCATCCCGCGCCATCCTGGGTCCCGCGCGCCCGAAAGCGGGCGGACCTGGCCTTGAGCCAAAATGGCTACGGACGGCGAGGGCACTGGATAAGGAATCATTGGATAAGGAATCCAGGGTCTGCAAGCCAGTGGAACACTGACTGAAGCATTACCACGGATATCACCGCTGCCCTCATCAGATTAGGAATTATGGATAACACCGCCGCCCTGAAGGCTCCCAGGCACATTCCTTAACAAACGCACCCACCGTAAGGGCAGCGAACAAGATTCGGGGTGGACGAAAGGGCAGGATAGCAAAGGGAAGGGTCGAGCATCAGCTCACGTAGCTAGTTTTCCTGATGCCTCCTGGCGCAGTGAGGCGCCCATGTATCAAGGAATGGGCCCGGCGGCGTGGCGGAAACCAGCTGTGTAAAGCAGATTTGGTATCCCCCCCTTTCCCTCGAGGGTCTACTGACACGGGTCAATCCAGACCCGCGTCAGTCGGGCCTTGAAGCGGCAAAATCCTGCAGGATCCTGCAGGATCATGCACCCAAGCCCGGGGATGTTGTCTCGCCTCGGAATGCTTTCCAGCAGCTGCGCCTCGCCAAGATCGCCAAGAGCGTTCAGGGGGTGCCCGAATCGTCCCGAAGTGCCACCAAGGGCCAGAGGTATAGCTCGACAACCACTCGGAGGAGGGAGGGGCCCACACCTTTTCTTTTCTCGTGGCAGGCGACCCTGAACCTTAGGAAACATCGTCACAGTGCTGAGGTTACGAAGGCTGCATCCAAGTAGTTACTAGTCTCATGGTCTCCTTCATCGCTAGATGCTACGTGAAAAAAGCGTGCGTTCATGATCGAGAAATTGGCCCTTCACCGGGTGGAGCTGCCGAGCCCAACCTTGCTCTGGAGCCCACACCTCTCCTCGTCGTGAAAATAAGCGCGGCGGAAAGTGCTTGGTAGTTTTCGGCCTCCAGGGCCCTTACAGGACCCCAGGACCGCAAAAGAACGAATGAGGATGAATAACCTGTCCCGGGGCGGGGGATCTGGACCTCCTGGGAGCCCACGCCGTGAAAAACACACGTCGGTGATCCTGGAGGGCCAGGGGAGTGTTCGGTTCGCCAGGGCGTGGGGCGCGCGGCTCGGTCCCAAACCCCATGCCACGAGGCCATGCGACGAACAAAAACGCCATTCCATGATGAGCGGCGCTGCGGTAACTTAACGGGCGAAGAACGGCATAAGACAAAGTTGTTCGCCGTCGGGGGCGCCTATCCCAGGGCGGGTGGAGAGCTTACACCCCTAAGGTGGCACGTCGGGGTGTAAACTCTCTAGCCGCCCTGGGAAAGGCGCCCCCAGGAGAGGAAACATGTACTGTATACCGCTCTTCGCTCCCTGGCCACGAAGCCATGAGACAAAAAAGTGCCATTCGAAGAGCGGCGCTGCGATAACGGCGCGCGGCGCCGAGACACTGCACGCTGCGGAGGGCCCCAGGAAAGCAGGGGGGACAGCCAAGAGCGCCTATCCTGGATCCCCTCTGGCGCGAGGGGGAGCAACAACAGATAAGGACGGAGGGAAGATAAACCACGGCCACGCTGACGGCGATGTTGCTTAATGGTGACATTGGGAACCAAATTGCAGGAGATCACAAGCCTCACTTCCTACATCTCCTATACGCAAGTGGAATCGAACTAAAACGACACCGCGAATTGTAGGGAAGCGCGAGTCACGCGTTCCCACAACACCGAAACCTACATCGCCGTTACCTACATCGCCGTCAGCGTGTCTACGGACGGAGACAAATCGGACAGACCCTGTCCCCGACCCCTGCGGATTCAGCCGCTGTCTGCACAGTAGATGCGCACAACAAGAGATCCTGCTGCAACAAAAAAACTGGGGGCACGTTTGCTGCAGATCATTCGACTTCCTGCAGCGTCCCATGCCTCCTGCCAGTCCCTGGGGCCGCTGGGGGTCAAGAAATTGACTCGTGCCACCTGCTTAGAGGACCGGAGAACTTTATAAGCGAAAACGTTGGAAGGTCCTCGCGGATTCCTGGGATCGGCCTCCCGCCCTAGCGCGCGAAGCGCGGAAGGGTTGGCGCTACAGGCGCCCATCCGTTGACGTGCCTGCCGCGCGGCGCCCTCCACGTGGCCAACGGCCACAATCCGAGACGTCCGAAATGGGTGCGGCAGAAGCGGGTGGGATGCTCAGCAGACGCTGCCCAAAACCGACAGCGGCTGCTGGACTGGCGCCTGCATGTCTCAAGCGGACAGCGTCCGCGGCAGCGCCGTCAGCGAAAGCAGCTTAGAATGGGACAGGGACTGCAGTCGGTCTTCGCCCCTAGCCGGACCTCTCCCTGGCGCGCGGAGCGCGCCACGGGCGGCGCCGGAGGCGCCGCCGCGGGGGCCCAGGCGCGGATCCACGAGATCCGCGCGGGGCGCCAAAAGTTGGTGTTTGTGTCGTGCTTCCTTCTCCGATGCTTCAAATGGGACAGGGACGGCAGGGGCGAGGCAAGGATGGGCCGAGGAGGCAAGGCTGCACGAGTACCCGTGGGAAGGCTGCCCATCCTTCCTGTGCGGGTCGACTGTGCCCATGCCGATCGTGCCGAACAACGGGGCTCGCGGTCGGCCGGCCGGCACCTCCGCGGCCGAGATCCGCTCGAGACCGCGCCCCCCTGGAGCCCCGCTGCTCGGAGCGGCGGCCAGCCGTGGCGACGAGGGGCCCCAGGAGGCCGAAGGCCGAGGAGACAAAACAAGGACCGAGGATCGAGGATAGAGGATCGAGGAGACGAGGATCATGGAGGAGGAGAAGGAGGGGGAGGAGGAGGAGGGGGCCCAGATCACCCAAGAGCCCCGACATGAGCCCCGAGAACCTTCCAACCTCGCTGAGCGTCCAAAGACCTCCCCGATCCTCCTCCAGCTCCTGCTCGTGCTCATCCTCCTCATCCGCCTCCTCCTCTTCCTCATCCTCCTTCTTCTCCTCCTCCTCCTCCTCCTCCTCATCATCATCATCATCATCATCATCATCATCATCAGCATCATCATCATCATCATCATTAGCATCATCAGCATCAACACCATGAGCATCATCATCATAAATCAGCATCAGCAGTATCGTCATCATCATCATCCTCGTCATCATCATCATCATCATCATCATCATCATCATCATCATCATCATCATCATCACCATCATCGTCATCATCAGCACCATCATAATAATCAGCATCGTCATCATCAGCATCATCATAGTCGTCATCATCAACCTCAGCATCATCATCATCAGCAGCAGCATCATCAGCAGTATCGTCATCATGATCTTCATTATCCTCCTCCTCTTCCTCCTCCTCCTCATCATCATCATCATCATCCACCCAGCGACGACGACGAAGGACAACGACGACTGAGTCTGCTGTCCTAGGGGGCACTGGTACGCGTGGTGAGCTCGGGGTCTTAAAGGAGGTAGTAGAACGGAAGGAGGGATAAAGTCATTCGCCCAACTCACAGAACCCCCGAGATGGCACAATAGTAGAGGGGATGGCCTTCTTCAGCCGCATGCCCCCGGGTATCGGCGTGGAGCTGGTAGCGAAGTCGCGCTCGGCGTCGTTCAGCATCCTCACCTCCTGCCAGCAGTCAGGAAGGGGCGAGGGAGAGGAGGCAGATGGAGGAGACAGCAAAAGATGGATCGAAGATATGCGCAAATAGACGTTCGGAAGTCTGACGAGGAGGGGGTGAAGGGGGAG